GATACAAGTTTAAGTTGCTTCCCCAACTCCAAATTCAAAAGGGCGATTTGCTCTGCAAAAAACTAGACCTGCAAGCCTCTTATGTAAAGACATGTTTTCCTGTTTTCAAAAAAATCCTCCCCTCAGATTTTCTGACCTGTCACCTGAAAATAGTTAGTATCGTTTTGAAAGAAAGCAACTCAAGATAGTAATACAAATAAGTTAGATATGAATCTAACCCTGATCAGTACTATTAATTTCTACCTTTCCCTCCTCAGATTTCACTGTAATTTCTTCATTACTGATCACTGTGGATTAAACAGCTAATGCAGCTGCTTTAGCATTCAAAAACTGTATGGTCTATAATATTTTTGAAGGATTATGGGGTTTGGGGATGTTTTGGCTTTTTTTTTTTTGTTAGGTTTTCTTATAACAGGGTATCAGAAATGTCAAGATGTATGGTAGTAGAGGGTTCAGCAGTTATGAACTGCTGAAGGAGGCACAGGAAGAACAAAAAGAAAAAACAAATGCAAAACAAACAGAAAAACTCAAACACTGCTCAGCATGAAGCCACAATATAAAGACCAGCTTAAAAGTGTGTGCAGTTTCTGCAAAGAAGCAGGTTATATTTTCCACATTTTCAGACATCCTAGATATTACAAACAAAGGTATAAGCTCAGCAGAAGACTTGTGAAAGAATAAAGAGGATCTTCAGTAGCTAGCAAGTATTCTAGTCTCAGCAGTAGCTGCCTTTCAGGAGCTATCACACAGAAAGGAGAGCAAGCTGGATCCATGAAGCTTTATCGCAAAGACATAGATCCTTTTTTTGGCAGCTTTGGATATGAAATACCTGTCACTTGAGAAAGGGTAAGCATCAGCAGCATAATGTTTAACAGAAAGACTGTTACAAGAGCCTTACATTAATTGCCCTCATTACTGTACTGGAACATGGGACCAGAATCAAACCACCCTTGAAATCCCTGAAACCAACACCACACTTCTGTGGAATTATTCACAGATCTTACTGCTTGCTATTAAAGTAGTTTTAAACTACATTTTTACACATACACCCACAGAAGTGCTTTATCTAATTATTTGCTTTATCTAATTATTTTGTTTTAAGTGAGATATGAAGCCCCAGAATCCATGAGTCTTAACAAAGAACTTGAATCATACCTGGTCCAAAACCTGACCTGAAAGATAAGCCCAAATTTACAATCCTTTCAATTTGTGAACCTGCAATGAATTAGCAAAATTAAAACTGCTTAACTGTTCTTAAAATCTAATCTCTGAAAGAACAAAAAAAAATCCTCTATTTTAAAGAAAATATTGAAGTTGTTTAACAAAAATTCAGTAAACTTCATTAAAAACCTCACATATTTTAATACAAAAAAACCTTCCCAAAATACTCAGCTCTAATATAGTCTATAGATGGCCTATAAAAGTTTTAAATGCAATACCAAAAATTATATGAAATAGCTAGGAACACAGCCTGTTGGTTTTTGTTGTTTTTTGTTTTTTTTTTTTTCCTTTTGGAAGTAGGCAAATTAATCATGGCTATCAAACTTGGAAAGCCTGTTAAACCACCCATCAAGGCACAACACCACAACACTCTATAGCTCTCAGCTTCAATCCATTTTCTCAGTAATTCATCTTAATGCTTAATCTAGGGAGATCACACATTAATGATAAATTCCAGAAGCAAACTGACCACCATAATTCTTCTCTTCCAGCAATCACTAACTGGAATGTAGAATCTGACAGTCCACTAATATTATACAAGTAATATCTTGTCAGATACATTTTTGGAAAAATTATATTTGAAAAAAAAAAAAAAAAAAGGTAAGAAATTAAAATAAAAATAATCGGAATACAGATTATTCTAAACCAGAAACAAATCCTACCCATTGGACAAGATGAAATACACAGGTACCAGAAAGATAGCATTGGTTTATTAATCCTAACCATTTATTTGTAGATAGACTTGCTTTATTTCAAGGTTTGAAATATGCACATACACAGAACAGAAACAAAACCAGAAAATCCATTCGCATACTGTAAAAATCAAGTAGCTGCTGAGATGATTTAGCAAGACTGTCAAGGAGCAATCAACAGATAAAGCCTTTTACTTAGAAGCATTAAAGGCTGAATACTCAAAGATCTGACAAATCAGAGCCCTGTAAAAAAAACCCTCAAAGGATAATCTGTCTGTATTTCTTGCTATTTTTAAACCTTACACATCTCAAGATTTCAGAAAATTTTACTTTCATCCCATAATATTGATCTATGGTGTGGCAGTGTCTTTTGCATGGGGGCAGGGGAAGAACAGCATCTTGAGAGCAAGTACATAGCTTTTTTTAACCTAATCAGCAAGGCCATACATCTCAGTTTTGGAAGTTAATTCTGTCTAACACAGTTGAGTTTAAGCAACATTTTCAGAAGAATCTGAGTGGACAGTAGTATGCAATACTTATCTAAGGCACAGAACTATGCACAGAGTAGGCTAATTTTAGAAAACACACAAGCCAAGTTAAATCATCCTAAAAGAGTAGGCCTGCATGTTTTTTCAATCTAATTCTGTAGGACACCTGGAAAGGACTTTTGCTTGCAAAACTACAGCACTGACTATCATTAAGCAACTACATAAGCCAGTTCAAAGGAAAGATTTCTATACAAAATGCCCTTGCTGTTTAGGGTAGGGTAAGGTGGGGAAAGAACAAAACCCCAACAGAGTCAAAGGCAGGCAAACAGTTCCTTTCTAGTGCTCTGAAAAGATCTTTAAGTTCTCAGGAAAGGAACTGTAACAATAATGGATATGCAGGAGGTATGGGATTCTCTTCTCTCTTACTCAAAGGTGCTGGAAATTATCAACTTACCCTGCAGGACTAATCAACATCCTTGTATGACCTGTGTATGCTAACTTCAGCATCTTCAAGTGCATGCTGTTGTTCATCAGTACCTCCACCACTACATGAAGAGGTATACAGCAACATTCAAAACATACCATTGAAAGGAAAAAGACTAGGAGATTAACTCACTCCAACCCTCAGTTACACTTTTCATCATATTCATGTGTCAGATTTTGTTTTGCTTAAAAAGAATTGTACTTTAAAATGAAGCAATTCCTCCTGTACAGATGAAAAAAGAGGCCTTTATGCCAATTTAACAACACTATGGTAGGACAGGATCTTCAGGCAATTAGATGTCCCAGTAATATAACTTTTTTATTTCTTCTCTCCTTGGTTCACAGATCAGAACTATTTGAAAAATGGTCCTAGGACATGTATTCAGACATTGTACTATTTCAACTTTGGAAACTGAAGGACAACAAAAAGTTATTTTACCAGTCTAGGGAATATCTGTATTGAATTACTTCTAGATTCAGTTATGCAAAATTGAATATTAAATATTTGGCAAGGAAGCTACCTATTCAATATTTGTGTTTAGAAATGGTTGCTAAAACAATCTTGTAAATTTTTATTCTGAAAGAAAGTCGTCTTCTTTCCACACAATGATTAATCTTTTCTACTATGGCTATCTTGATCAGGAAACAAATTAATTTGTAAATGTTCAAGAAGTTAACTGCCTCATATTAGGAGAATTCATCACTTAAGATGCTTCCTGAATTTTTACAAAGACTCTTAGGAACTGTATAGCCCTTGCATTTTCTTTCCCAATCATTCCATAATTTCTGCCAGAAGAAACCATAGACAAACCATTCCCTGGATGACTGTCACAGTACATCAAAACACCTGAATTTTTTTTTCTCTTTCACAAGGATCTTAGGAAAAGATTCACTCTTCAGCAACTTGTGGGAATAATCTTCACAGCCTCTCTCTTACTGAGCTTGCCAAGAATATCCAGAAAAGGACTCATTTGTAAAGAAAACAGACCAGGTTTTTTTGAGTCTCTCACATAAAAAAGGAAGAAAAATATGAATTTGTTATGATGTTTCTTCTTGAAATATAGAACCTTGGTTAATTGAGAGAAAGAGATAGGAAGAAATAGTAGGGTTTTTTTAAAAAAGAAAGTATCACAAAGGAAGATGATCATCTATAATAGAAACAGTTAAAACAATTATCTTAATTTTCATTTCCAGAAAGCAGGGCAAGGGGGAGCAGAAAGGACTCCTTTGCTTTCTCCTGCATTGTTCAGAAGACACTACACAAGCCATAAGAAGAAAACCTCACCTATGGTACTTTAAAAAATAAATAAATAAAGCAAGCAGATGAGCCACTGAAGTAACAGCCAAACAAAGGAGGGTTCCTCTCTGTCAAATAAAGCAGTGCTAGCAACAATCTAATCAGGTTTTTTTTTGTGGAACAGATACGGAAATCCAAACTGGAAAGATGGAAAAAACTGCCATAGTATAACTGATGTAGAAAAATGTTGAATGTTAAGTTTATGATTAGTTTAAAGTTTTTTGTTGGTTTGGGGATTGGGTGGTTTGTTGGTTTTTTTTTTTTTTTAATATCACCCAATCTGTTGGGGGATAAAAGCTTATAAATACATCTATTAGTGAGAATTTATCTGAATTAGTACTTGTACAAAACGGGAAATAAACAATGGCAAACGTAGGATGGTATCATTTCTTTTCCTGAAGTAAGACTTTTCAGACTCTAATAAAATGTTTGTTCCACTTGTATGATTACTATAGATCTTACAGTCTCAGCTACAAACCTCAACTTTCGTTAAAAATACTATTGCTGGCTGGTTTACTCTGAAATGAAGCTTGAAAAGATCATTCATGTTATATAAAATCTTAAAAAAATATAAACCAAACCAAACAAACAGAGAAACCAAACAGCCCCAAAGCAAAACCCCAAAAACAGCTTCAAGTCTGGTCTCCCCCTCCAACAATGCCACTTGGTTTTGTGCCCTGATTTTTGACTAATGACACAATACTGCAAACCAAGCAATAATCTCCATTTCACTGTAAACCTTTAATATAGATTGTTTTCATTTCAGTTATATTCAACTCAAAGTAGTTATTAACAAAGATTTTTTTTAAAAATGAATACCTCAGTCTGACCTTCATGGGCACTGGATTCATGAGTGACACGAATAGCCTAAAATTAAAACACATTTCAATCAGACTTTAAATGAGAGGCTTCAGTGTTTTAAGAATCATTGTATGCTCTTTGTTTTATCAAATATAGATGTAACTATTTTTGTTCACTGTTTGTAATAAGTAAATAAAAATAAACAAATAATCTCCACTTCCAAAGATCTCAGAATACCAGTATTTCTGTTTCATCACAGTCAATTCAAATCAAATACCTAACAGTTTGTAATGGCATTTTTACACACAGAAAACACTGCAGGCGAGTGTTTTTGTTATGTAGCACTTCTCGAGCAGACAAAATACTTTAGATCAGACATCTTGTTTCCAACATTTCTACAGAAAATGTAATCTAACCTCTAATGCTTCTGTTTGTTACCACTTCCCTGAGACACATGTTAACACCCTTATTCCTGAGGGCTTCACAGTAAGTTTAAATTGAACCCAGACTTGGAAATCATCAAGGTTTTCATTTTGAGGGAGGACTGTCATTACCATTAGGAGCAACAGCACCATTCTCCCCTTCCACCACTGGCCAGACGTTTCTGCTGCATCCTGTCAGACAGCGCTAATGATCTGGCTAACCACACTATCAGCTAGCTCATCTAATTGTTTAGGGTGGTGGGGGAAGGAGATTATATTTCAGCCAAATCAGCTCTGTGTGTGTGCCAAACTGCTAGAGCCAAAGAGAGATGACTAGAAGGCACAAATGAAAGGAGGCAGAAGGACCATCATTTCAGCAATAGCCCCAGATCAGTTTAAGTTGACCATTAAACTGGATCCTGAACCCACCAAAAAGGTTATGCACACATTTTTCATCCCCTTCAAAGTAATTTTAAACTAAGTCAGTGAATTAATATGGATGAAGAACACTGACAAGATCCATTCTGCTGAGTTATGGGCAGACAGGAATGCTTTACCAAAGCAAGGTCTTTATAGCAACTGTCTGATCATAAGCTCACATATAAAATCCAATTATTTAAGTGCTTCTCTGGATCAACTCCTAAGGACAGTACCTACTCATGCAAGTAATTCTCCTATCATTTTAAATAAAAGTAAAAAACACATCATACTAACTTCATAAGTTTCTAGATATTTGGCCCTCTCTTCAGGAGTCATAGATAATGAATCTTCTAGGAACTTTTTCAGTGAAGAATTAGTTTCTTAAAAAATAAAAAAGACATAATTAGAGTCATGCTTTAACTCCAACTTCATCTAAAGCTTACAGACTGCTTATATCCAATGAAAGGTTTAAAGATATAATTACATCATATCTTTAAGACACTGAAGGCTGACTGCAGGAGGAATTGCCACCTGCTGCAGTTTGCAACATTTCAAGTACTTTAGTTCATGGATTGCTATGAAATACTTTTTTTTATAATTATAGGTAGAAATGCTCTTTGAATAGAGATTGTCCTTTATGAATGGTTATATTTAGAGAAAATAGTACAAAACGTATCCTTCCCTCCATGCCTCCCCACACATAAGGAAAAAGCCAGCAAAAACCCACCCAAACAAAAAAACTTACCAAAGTTCATTTTATCTCTGTTGTTCGCAATAGCATGAATTAGACCAATTGTTCCACAAGCATTGTTAATGGTCTGCTTCATGAAATACACAGATGACTTGACATCTTGTCCCTTAGCTTTTATTCTCTCTTCTTCTTCTGTTCTGAAGGTTTCATACTAGAAGGAAAGTTACAGACATTCACAAATAGTACAAATAGATATTGGCTACATTATCCAAGCAAAAATAATTTTTGAAAAAAGCAGCAGCTAACTAGAAAAAATCAAAACTCAACTTGTAATTTGAAATGCTTAACATATGTGGTCTGACAAGTACACGTAAACTTACTCATGTGAACAGCTTATATCGTTTCTTAAACCAATACCTTGTCACTAGCCAAAAACCAGTCACACTTGAAATATTGTTTTGAAATATGTGTTAGCTAACATAATTTCAAAAATGTTGAGAATATTTCCTTGATCTGAGCATCTGTCACCATTTCTCTTAAATCCAACAAAAAGCTTTTAAGGACAGAATTCTCAAAACACTATCAAGCAAACCATAATACTTCAGGTGTTTAATCAGCATGAAGCATTATTACAAGTTCCATTTTCATATTTCATTTTTTCCAGGAATATAAAGTAAGATTTATATAGTGCTCAGAGCCTCAAAATGGGCCTTCAAAGGCCATATTCATGAAGTGAATGTTTATTTTCTGTAATAAAAGAAATAATGTAAACAATCTAAAGTACTTGTTTTGTAAAAATCATAAGTAATTGAAATTTGTTATACTGTGCAACAGTATGTTGGTTTTACGTTTTGTTTTTTTTGTGGGTTTATTGCTTCTTTGGAGGGGTTGGGGTTTTTTTTGGTTTTTTTTTGTTTGGTTGGGGTTTTTAAAAATTATTTTAAGATTTTCATCTCAAATAGAAAAAGAACAAAAGAAAACTGCAAGTATTCCAGCCAACACTGTACTTTCTTCCTCCCTTGTCTCTTTTACCAGGTACTTTTGCAGATAAAAAAGAATATTGAAGTAGATGGGCTTTTTATACAAGTATGACAAAACTAAAGTTTGAATGCAGAATGTTTTCAAGGAACCCTTCCTGAAAACCCATGAGAAATTTCTCTCAGACTATGTACCATCAGTGACAAACAAGATATTTTTCCAGCATCATGATTCCATGCTTGCAGCTTGTCTGAATGCTCTGAATGGTCTAAGTAACACCAAGAACATGTAGAAAGCATTTTAATTTGACACCACTTATCTACATATTAACAAAAATTGATTTAATTAAGAAAAAAATTAATAGAGCATAATAGGACAAAAGTTCAGATTAGAGAAGGTAAACAACATAGTTGCCATTCACTCCCTGCCAATCAAAATAAACTCCATGGCAAAAAAAAAATATATATATAAATGTTGAGAATACTGAAAATACAATTTTGAGCAAGGGTTAGACCAGATCACCTCAAGAGGTCTCCTAACCCGATCTATCCCATGATGTGTATTCACTGAACAATGCCCAAAATGCTCACACTGTTCACTCTGCCTAGAGCCTACAATGCACGCTAAGCAAGTAATTGACCTTTAGACTGAACAATAACCCTAAGATTATGTGTATGCTAACAAGAGTATCTTGCCTTAAAAGCAAGTTCATACACATAGATATATAGGAAATACGAAAGAAAGGAACTTCTTGAAAGAACAAAGATATGATAGAAAAGTGTTTACAAAGGCAGCAAAATTAAGAGACACACTTTCATAAATGTAGACACAACCAAGAAAATAAAAAAATAATAAATTAAATAAAAGGAGAATATAACAGGCCATATTGAAAAAGAGACCAAGGAGAGGAAAATACTCCAGAAATACGAAATAATTGTGAATTTCATGCTGAACAACAAAAGCTTCAGAACACTGGGACTTCCTGTGAAAGATTCAGCCTTCACACACTCATTCTAAACAGCTGATAGCAACACTTGTGCCCCTGATGTTTCTGAAGGATTAACAAGGTGGAGAAATCTTTGGCTGGTGGTCAAATTTCATTGATTGATGCAACAGAGCATATGCTGTTTCTCTGGTTCCATTTGTCATATGCTTCAGGATGAAATCAGATACACCTTCTGAAACAAGAAGGTGTATCATTCCCATGGGATGATGCTCCTGTAGCATGATCCAAGAAAGGAAGTTTGCACAGGCAGGGAGGCAAAAGAAAAGTGACAGTCACAGAAGGAGCGCTCAGACCTGTAGCTCAAGCAGTCAGAAAGAAACCACAGCATACAAACAATGTCTCAAAGGTGACAGAAAGGAAATTTCCTCAAGACAGGTGAAGACAGTTAAGGGTTTGCTTAAATTCAAAACAGTTGAGGTGGCCCAAATCAAGCCTGAAAAAGACTGCCTGCATAGCTGTTTTGGAGAAACTGGGAATGCAAAAGTTTACAGGACCTAATGATAAGAGGACTGACCAGGTCACTCTCCTCTCTATTTAAACGCATTTTGTTACAGAAGTTAAGCTTTAACAGCTAACTGCTTTGTTCTTAAGAAACCATATGTTCTTTTCGAGAGGCATTAAAAGGAAGAAGTCTGGGCAGATCCCCTTCAAACTTTTTATCTGACCTCATCACAGTCACGTAAGATTTTTATAAATTGAGACATCAATATGAATCATGCATTTCAACATACATAACACTTGAAGGAGATATGTAAGATGGATGTCTTCTCTATGTAGAAGCATATGATGACACAAAATATGCAGACTTGAAGATTTAACCAAACCAAGTACTTCAAAGTCTAACAGAGGAAGAAGCGGGGGGATTCTCTTTGATCTTTGAAATATGCCCCATCTGTCCAAGAAGCAAAAGTCGTATCAGTACTGATGACTGAACTGAAAGTGGATTGAAGTTTGGTATGAAAACTCAAAAAGTAGTTGCATTTGACACAGTCCAACCTACCTCTTACTTTCCTTATGCTACTGTAGCTTTCTGCTAAAAGTAGCAGAACCAAGCCATATCATAGTGCATACTTGCAGAGAAAAAAAAAAAAGCGCCTTAAATTGACTGTAATAGAAAAATGTGAGGTGCATTTCTCTGTGCTTCCACATTAGCTTTTCCCACTCCAATTTAAAAAGAAATTAGAAATACACATATAAGATTATCAAAATAAGGTTCTGAAGGAAGCATTTTGTTGCTGTTTTTAATTAAGAAGTCTCTTGAATAAAGTTTGAGACTCATCTTGAATCTATTATGATACCAAAGTACAAGATCCAAACTGTTTCTTCCCATTTCGTTTACAACAGAAGTGATTAGCTGATTATTAAACAAACATTTACCTTTTCTGTTATTGGAAAGAGAAGTAGCACTGCACAGACAGGTCTTGGCACCATGCTAAGCAGTTCTGGTTCCATACCATAAACATCTACAAATTGCCAGTCAGGATGTATACCTAACTGTTTGAGAAACTGGAAAAGAAAAATATAGAATAATATTAAATGAGTACGCTCATATACTTATCTTTTTAGGAGCATAACAGTACTTACGTGAAATACATTGCAACAACCCATACTTTCCAAAATTCAAGGAGAATAAATGAGAATCAAGTTTTAACAAATAAGGCAGAACAAATCAAGGTGCTAACAAAGACACATAAAATCCCCATTTTTTAAAATTTAAATAGATTTAGGAAAGGAACATGAAAACAATGCCAGCACTATTTACTAAAGCATTAAAGCATTTCAACCATTTTGGAAGTGTTTTGTCACAAAATAGAAAAGTATTGAATATTCACTTTAACTAGAAATTATGAATCAGAGCACAAATGAATAAACTTATGATATTATTTGACGCCATGAGTACTTCAAAATATCTGACACCAGTGCTCATACTGGAGCTACTGGGTTTTAGCAACTCAGAAAAACTGTCATCGTCGATGGCCTTTTGAGCAGAGACACAAGATATTTATTTTAGTAGGCGTATCTTCTAAGGTGTTCTCTTACATAAGAAAACCTTTCAAACTATGATGGAGTAATATATATTGAAGTAGACTAAGATTAAGTGTTAGACAATAATCATGAATCTTCAAGTAATTCCCAGTTGCTTCTTTAGAACTTCTGAACAGCATCTAAGCCAAAGGCCTTCTTATCATCTTTCCTATACTACAGCTTATGTCACAATACAAAAAGTGATTTTGGATCTTTTACATCACATTAAGCCACTTAAGAAGGAAAGAGAGTCTGTAGTACCTACTAAGCTTTGACAACCTTAGCCTACAATTGGGGGCTCACTTTTTAAACAGATATTCTTCTTTTACTCAGGTGAGTTATACACCACAACAATAGCTGGAGAACTAATAACTATATATGATACAAACAAATTTGAAATATTTATGTTATCAAAGTCTAGAAGAACCTAACTGAATTCAGAAACTATTGTTACTACACACACACACTGACCATAATTGTAAGAAAAATCTAATTGTACACAGTGGCATACACAAATCCTGTTTTGAAACACTACTTCTACCAATAAAATAAATGCATTTTGGAGAAAAAAGTTAAATGCATTTTCAAAAAAGTTAACATTTCACAACTGCTGGAAAAAACATGTTCTATAGTAAAATCTTATCTAGTCGCCTGGGGCTCTGAGGTTTAAAATAAGGAAAGTCTGCTGATAAATGGCTGCAAATTTTAATGCCTAAAAAAACATGCAGCAAGTAATACTTCTCTACCCCCTCTAATGGAAAAACTATGAACTCCTAACACATTTCTTCAGCTAACTCTCAACAAAACTCAACTCTGCAGTTCCCAGTGTTGTTCCCAAAAGTGAAACTAATTTGCCCATTATCTTTCTTAGAGGGGAAAGATTACTTTAAAACCTTCACCATACTTCCTGCCCAACGCTATTTGAGGAAATCTATTTATTGATACATTTGCAGTAAAGATTCTGAAGAATCATGTAAGATGGTAAGACTGAAAGGCATAATGACTCTCTTCTTTCCATAATCCACCTAGCAAGCAGTTTTACATATATGCACAAGAATTCACTAGCAGTTACAGCACTTGAGTAGATTCATACCTACATAGATATAACGTAAGAAATACACAAAATTAGTATTTTATTAGAACACAAGAACATATAATGAAATACAAGTGTCTTTGTCTAATATGAGATCCCTTCAAATATACCAGTTTCAACTTTCATTGGGCAAGAGGCAAGGTGGTTGTCTTTCAGGAGACATAACCAAGGGGCTGACTCTCAATATTTAGAGATACAAAGTAGACACTTTCTGCAAAGGCTGAATGAATGGACAACAAGTATTTATAAAGAGTAAGAAAGATTTTTAACAGTAACACTTAGGAATATCTTCTACAAGGGGGCAAAAAAAATAGAGAATACACATACCTCTAAGTTTATTAAGAGAATGAAACTGCATTTTTGCAGCCAGTGTTTTGAGGGGGGAAAAAAACCAAAACCCCACACTTCACCGTTTTAAATGCATTATTCGCTTTCCATTTTATACTGCAAGACTTGACATCAAAACAAGGGCAAGTAAATGTGATTTAAGTTTGAAAAAAGTTTAAAAGAGTATCTTGGAAAAATTAAAATGGCTTTCTGTGTATCTACAGAAATAACCTATACAGTTCACGGAACTAGTTCAGTATTTGAGTCTGGCTGCATTGCAAAATACAGAGATTTTCTTTTCATAAGGCCATGTAATCACTTTCCCGTTTTTCTCTCTTTACACTATCTACTAATAATGAAAACGATGGGATTGACCATAAATTCAAAGAGGAAAAGTGGCAAAATAAAGGGTCTTTATCAAGCTCTCAATTTAATTTTGTTCCCTTATATAGAGGTCTGTGGGACTGGGCAGAAGCCATAATTAAAGCTTTGAAGAACCTACCCTTTTTGACTAGTTTAAAAAACAAGGTAGTTCTGAAGTACAATAAGAAAATTCACTAAAAAGATTGCTCATGTAAATACACCAAGCTCTTTTGGTTCTGTACCACCTCTAAGTCTTGCCAAGATTGGGAAGAAGGCCAAATTACTCTTTTAATGAAAATGGGGAAAAGGGAAAGTGTTAAGTCTTTACTACCTGATGAAACAGAAGACAGTATATTTTAAACTCCTGTTATAACTCTCTAGGTTGTTAAGATAACTACCACTTTGGGAATAACAAAAAAAAATTCCAAAGGGGAAAAGAGTATGTGTATGGGTTCATTAAAACATTATTTGTAGTTCTAGTACTTTTCTTATTAAGCCAATGACTAATCTTTCCATCATTTCTCCTGTTATTCAGAACTGTAGGAAAAGCAATGCAATTGAAAAAATGGCATTTATTATTTTGCAAGATTATATGAAATAAGGGTACAGAACCCCAACAAAATAAAGACAATACTCACCTAGGAAAAGACCCTAAAACCCAGAAGAGGCAATGCTAGAAGGATCACATTAAGCTACTGGACAAATAAGTGATTCAAGTTCTTCTGCCCTGTTCTACACCACTGGGAAAACAAACAAACAAACAAACACCACCAAAAAAAAAAATCCCAAAACAAAAAACAAAAAAACAAACAACAACAAAAAAAACCCAAACACAACCACAACCCCCAAATCAACAAAATGTTCCCTAAACCCAAGAATTGCTACTTAAACTCCAGAGTGAAATATTCAACATAACTAAAACTCCACAGATACAGGGTACCTTTCATTACTCATGTTACTATACTGCCTAGAAAATTTACAATCTAAGAAATAATATATTTCAGCATACAATGAGAGTGATGACTAGAAGTAATGGTCAGCACTACAGAGAACAGCAAGAGCATAGGCTTAGTATGACAGCCAGTGATCGTAACACACGAGCAGCCTAACAACTTTATTGTATAATAGTTAAAAAAAAAAATACTACTAAGGACAGACACAAAATAGGCAAAGGAGGTATCTCTGTGTATCAAGAGCATTTCATTCAAGCCTGGGAAAAAAATGATAGAGATATCTTTCTGAAGATTTAGTAAGTAGATGACAAAATCTTGCAGCATAAGCACCTGTGTTAAAGAGTGTGACAGATCAGCAACAGATGAATGGGAAGAACCCTTAAAACAAATATATGGAGCTTATTTTTATGTGGAGACATGCAAAGAAAAGGAGGAGTTCAATCGATAATGCAGCCAGGTAAATAATCTTCTGCAACTGTATTCTGCATGGATACACACAAGACTGTATTTAGAAAGGTCAGGGGAAGGAAGTTTTGTAGAAATAAATACAAGTTGTTAGAAACCAGGGAAAATTCTTTAGAGGAACAAATATCTGTATAAGGTGTGACACAGGAAGGTCAGGAAAGAGATGTCACAAGCAATAGCTTCAATTTTGGCAAGTTACCTGAATACCTTAGTAATAACTAAATTAAACCTCTTTTTTTCTCCCTCAGTCTTTTTCTAGCTCTTTCCTAGGGCAAACATGCAGGTACCAAAAAGAGTCAGTTACACACCAGAAGGTGAAGCAACCCCTTCCCTACTGAAAAAAACATTCCTGTTTTAGGACAGTAGGCAGTTCCATATGCTTTTGAGCCAGTGCCATTCATAGGAAGGGACTTCACTGTGGAATAACTGGAATAATTGGAAGGCAAAGCAGTAGATTACCCAAGCAATTTTATTCTACAGATAACTAATAGACAAAGAAGTTAAGGTAGTATACTGTATCTGAAGGCTCACTGACTTTTATCTGTTTACTTTCTCTTAGCTTATTGACACTACATACTCAGGTTAACATAAACCAGCTTTATATTTCTCTAGATTTGCACAGAGAATATATTTCAGTCATTGATTATCACATTGCTGACTATTCTTAATTTGCATGTCTTCCAGCATTTACCGTAGGAAAAAAAAAAAAAAAAGAAAAAAAGATATTTGGCTACATACATAAGTCTTACAGGGGCTCAGGAAGAAAAACAACATAAACACAACACATGTCCACAACTATTAACTTTTTTCAGAGCTTTATTTTTACAGATTGTTGTCATATTTTCAGTTATCTCTTTTCTTGTATTAAAATAGCTTCTTGTTTTTTCACTGGCCCAGCTAACCATTAGACAAAAAGCCACTTCTGAAATAACATTACACACATGCATACACCCCCCCCCCCCCC